AAGAATGAGGACTTCGAAGCTCTTAGCTAGTGTTCAAGGGGATCGGAACGCAAGCCGACTATAGCCGCTGCAATGTCGGCAAACGCCGGAGCGTCCTTTGGTCTCTCTCACATAACTCGAAATCGCTCCAGTAAAGGAGGCTCTGTTCGACTATCCGGAAAACAGGTTTACTCTTTGGAATGGCGTTGTATATGCTCAGAACTCGTATGAAGCTACCACGGCTGTAAAGCAACCTTCAAAGTATGTAATGTCCCACTGTTGTTCGAATTGGGACCGTACGGGCGTCATAGTTTACGGAGCGACTCACGATTTCACTTGGCATGTTTTGCTCTGAGATCATGAGTCGCTCGGTCAGCCAAGCCCCGCCGAGGACCACTAGTGTTCGTCGAGCAAGGTCGATGTTTCTTAGTGGACTACGGGCTCGACGTATTCGCCTACATCACTACTACTCAACGACCTTGGCTGAGCTGAAATGTCTTTCCTTATGAGTATCAGTCTCCTCTCGCTTCTGGGACGGCCGCCCTCCAACTTCTCTGAGACCGATGTTCATCGCCTGCACCGTATTTGGTCACCACCACTGAGTCGAAAACGGGTTCTTTTACGCCTTGGCAAGTCAAAACCTCGGACTTTTTGTCTCTGAAATTGCAACCAAGGCTCGATTGCTCAAGGCCTACTCCGACGAGGATTGTAGCGAAGATATATTTGGCGATTCAACCGAATGCACTGACAGTCGAACTCAATTGAATGGTTTATGTTCTTGAAGCTATCGTTGGAGGGTTCTAATTCTGCACCATAAATTAGCGCTATGGAATGATGGCTGATCCGGCAACCTCGTCCGACCGGCGTCACGGTGTTTCGGATCCCTGGTATTGCCCGTGACTGTCGAAGGGAAGCCCCGCAGAGTCACGTCTAGTGAGGAAAGCATGACATTGTCTTGAATATCTTTCTCTCTGAGAATTAACTCCTACCCAATCCTCCGAGACTGTCGCTAGCCACTGACGCTGGTGTCCACCACACAAGCGAAACCTTTCATTGCTTGGCAGGTCTTTGATTCATCCACGGTCACTAAACTCCGCCCACGCGCGCGTTGTTTCGACAGGACATTCTTCAAGTTCTCCTGGCTCAGCAAAATAGAGAGCTGTCTGATATTCCAAGAGATATAAAAGGGCCCCCAAATCGCAAGGAATCTCCAGACAGACACTCCACCCTCGTCTATCTACTCTATCAGCCCATTCATCACGATGCGTTTCTCAATTGCTACTCTCCTCCCTCTCGCGGTCCTCACGGTCCCCGCCCTCTCCTCTTCCGTCCAGGCTAGGGACGGCAATGTCGACCACAAGGGAAATGACGGTGGAAGCAAGGATAACACATACGGCAACAAGGGCAAGGATGGTGGCCGCGGTGACTGCACCTGGGAGCCGGTGTTCGAGCACAAGAATGACTTCAAAGGGTGGAACAAGGGCAAATACACTCCCTATGAGCACAAGGAAGTCACGAAGATCAACTTCGAAATCGGTAAGCGTATCTCTTTGTTCTTTGTCCATGTCGCTGACGTCTTCTCCGCAGAATGTAAGAGCTTGTGCGAGAAGGACGACAAATGTAACTCTTGCCAGGGTTCGTCCAATGTTTACTCGGTCTCCCGAATGATCTGACACCTTGTTTAGCTTACTCGCACGATGAGAAGGATGACAAGTTCATCTGCGAGCTGTTTGTCGAGATCATCGACATTAACACCTGGGAGCAAGACTGTGATGACGGCAAGGATAACAAGGATGGCAAGGATGGCAAGAAGGATGACAAGGATGGTAAGAAGGACGACAAGGATGGCAAGAAGGACGACAAGAAGTACTACGACACTTCTTGCTGGAACGCCCACTACGGCAACTAAATCTGGCGAAGCGTGTTATGGGTGGTGACAATGGACATTTGTAACACTCTGTTTGTATAGTATTGTATACCTCCAATGCAATTTGCATGTGGTACCGTTCAGTGTGGCTTTGAAGTTGATGGGATATCTCAGTGCGCTCAAGAACAATTGGTGTTCTTCATCTGTCTCAAATCTGGATTTCTTTTTCTAATCTATAGGTTTTCCATGCGGTCTTGTCCGTCTCGAATGAATGAGAGAGTAACAATTATTCTGTTGGGATTTGCAACTTCAAGCTTATGCTGGAAGATTCCCGAACATTCGGCTTAGTAATTTGTCATGATACTTGGATAATTTTAGGTACTTTAGGTAGAATATTCTAGATACTTTTGTAGTATTTAAGGAGCTCGTCCTGAGCTCTAGTAGCTAACAATTCCAGTATTTACCTACTGCAAGCCTCCCACTGCTGTGGTTTACAACATATTCAAAAAAAACTCCATCGAGACTTGAACATTTCAGAAATGTAATATCATCTATTTTTCACCATATCGGAATACAAGTCTTCTAACAATACACATCATGTCTATGAATACAATCTCTAGTATCTACTCCTGCTGTTCTACTACGCATTCTAACCCTTCGTGACTCAGCAAGCCCCTCCAAGTATCCTCTAATCCACCGGTATCATGCAACTCCATATACGTCTTTACAATGTCTCTACTCGTGGTCGGCGAAAGTGATGGCCGCTACACAGCCGATCATTAGTTTTTTTGTTTGTGTAGCTACTTTGCCAATGTCATTCTGCTTCTTTTTCTGATGCCCAAAGACACGGTGCAACATGAACACGACAAGGCAGCAAAAAACCAGTTCATTGGTGCTATGCTTGCTACACAGAAATTAAACAAAAGTGCCCTTCTCACTGGCATTCCATATGAGACGGCACGAAAAATCTGGCAGAAGTACAGGGAGTGCGGTTCTGTCGAAAATCTACCCTGTAGTGGACGTCCAAAGAAGATTGATGAGCGTACCTCACGTCGTCTGGCTCGTGCAGCTGTAAAAAGCCGCTGACTGCCACTCAGAGACCTCAGGAATGAAGTCAGTATTGATGCGAGCAAGAAGGTTATTGCCAAGGCCTTGGATGACCACGGATTGCATCGACATATTGCATGGAAACATCCCTTTCTCTCTGCAAACCAAAAGAAGGTGCGAAAACAATGGGCAAAGGATCACAAGGAGCAGGATTGGAGGAAGGTGGTTTGGTCAGATGAATGTTACATCCATCTTGATGATAAGATGGGTCGGATTTTTGTGACACGGCATGCTGATGAAGAGTTGGATGAAGACTGCATAGTGCCAACCTTTAAGCAGTCTCCTGTGCACGTAATGGTGTGGGGATGTGTTGCATTGGGGTGGAAGGGGCCATTAGTTGTTCTCGAGTATCCTGGTGGAAAAGGTGGAGGAATGACAGCAGCTCACTATCAAGAGCAGGTGCTAGAGGGTCAGTTGAAGGTGTTTTGGAAGGATTTGGACAAAGCCCAGCCAGGACTCACCTTCCAGCAAGACGGCGCACCAAGCCATACAGCCAAGACCACCAAATGCTGGCTTGCACGAAATAACATCCCTCTCTTTCCTCATCCACCAAATTCTCCTGATCTTAACCCCATTGAACCAGTCTGGCACGAGCTCAAGAAGCATCTCCGTGCACTCCCAAGGCATCCGACGAGCACCAAGGCACTGCGGGAAGTGGTTTTGCAGGAGTGGGTCTTGATGCCTTTGAAGGATATCGATAAGCATATTGAGACCATGTCGGATCGAGTCAAGGCTGTTCTCAAGGCAAATGGGGGTCACACGTGGTTTTAGAGAATGAATAGTTGGTACATTTGGAACGATGGTGATGGTAGATAGCACAATTAGAATTTTTTGTGATAAGACCCGAGTACCACGCTGTGCCAAATAAGGCACCGGCCATCACTTTCGCCGACCATGAGTACCGTTCCTCCGACACAGCAGTCCTAATGCCACAGCAAATGCGTTCACTCTCCCAATGACCAGGACCTTCCCTGATGCCGGCATGAAGAGATTGGAGCGTGACAGAGTGGGCATGCCTTGATCAGTCTCCCCATCGTCCCCGACACAGATCACGACCCCATCCCAGTCCTCTACATCCATCAAAGAGACATACATGTCCGTTCCCTCTCCCAACGCTTGTATACGCGCATGTTGATGCTGAGGGTCTTCCACACCCCTGGGCGAGCGTGCAGGATGTGTTTTTGCGCTCCCCCTGTTGCTGCTTTCGCTCTCTGGTGTTATAACCTTCCTCTGCACTACTCTTCGTCGTGGTAGGTTGCTCACATGCGGCTCGAGGTGTCCCTTGGGCTTGACGGTGACACAGAAGTTGAGTTTATGTGGGTGGCATGGCTCGGGACTGACGAGCGTCGCTGAAGAAGCGGGTGAGGGTATCATGGTGGCCACCGTTATAACAAGCGTCCACAGCGCGTCGTCGTTGGAAGAAATAGGCTGGGGTCTATGCTGTGGGCGTGGAATCACAAGAGTGTTGAGTTGATGGTACTAACAAGATGTCAGCACGCGGACAGAACATGAAAACAATGAACACACTGGTCTGGCAGAATGCTTTTCCGGAAGCAGTGAATTCGTCAATGTTTCATTGAGGAGCTATCGACAGGTTCTTCAATGACACCGGCTTGACTGCAAAGTCTTCCCCTTTAACCATTGCAAGAGCGCAAATAGGACGGACAATACGCACTGTAAACAGATTCCTCTGCTGACGTTATGTCCAGTGTCAACGCCCAATGTCAATCCTCGTTCAGGTATCGTACTTTCGTACTGCTCTTGTCGCTGGAAAGCTAGGGTGGTGTCGTGAGTGAGAGTTGCAATTTTGATAAATAAATAATAAATAAATGAAATGAAATGCACCTTCCGCTGCCCAACTCCGGCGAAACTGGGGCATGTAATCAAACCTCACGAGATAATAAATCATCGGTGTTGAATCAGATTGATTGACGTCCAGCAGGAGAGTGGTGGGGCGATCAACAAGGACAATCTGACTCAGCCGGCGGGCCTCAGAAGCTCAAGATTCGACACAAAAATGATCAAAATTGATGTGTACCTTGTTCAATTCGGATACGGGGAATCAAACCCCGAGCTGCCGCGAGCATTGAAAGGCGGCAATGTTAGCCGTTACACCATATCCGAAACAGTGCAGAGGGCTTGCCTTCCACCTGAATGGTAGGTATCTTTTTTAGTGTCGACACATTTTTGACACAGTTGATCAGTAGGAATCACAGACTTGGTGCTGGAGCTATAGCTGTAAACACCGCGGGAGAAACACAGGCTCCGAATCCTGTTCTACATGTGGCTTTGACAGTACCACAGCGGCTCACCGACAAACCATCTCCATTTTGTGACCTGATCTCTGTCAATGGTGTCCCATCCGCCACGGACACCAATCTCATTAACGATTGCCTTCAAAAGGTGCATGGAGAAATTCAACGCCTCGAAGCCATCCTGAAAGAGATGCAAGAGGAGAAATTTCGTCTTCAAAGCATTGCAAGTAGCCACTCGGTCCTAATATCGGCCTTTCGCAATTCCCCCCCCCCAGAGGTTCTCGCAACAATTTTCGAGCACACGATCACCATCCGCCCACTTAGTAATAACAGTCCTTGACTCCCTGGCGATTTGACGCGCGTCTATGCCGCTCTTTGCAGGCTTGGTAGCATTTGCCGTAATTGGAGGGCGACGGTGTTCTCGACACCCTCATTATGGACTCAATTCAACATTGGGTTACGGTTAGAACGAGAGCGTGAAAGCCCAGTGCTCCATTGTTGAAATTCATGCTGGATCGAATCCGCCCTGCCGATTTGAGCACAGATGGAAGAGTGCGTCGATCGACTTTGATGATGACAGTGAGGATCTGTATGAGCAGATTCGGGATCGTCTTCCGTTGTTGGAGCGGCTGGAGCTCTGTTCTTCATATTCGTCTAGAGCAGAAGGATTTCTGTGCCGTTGAGAATGCACCTCGTTTGCGGGAGTTGGATCTGGGAAAAGGCGTGGATCCTGTGCAGAAAACCCTCCTCCCTTGGGCACAGATAACCTGTCTCTATATAAACCATCACATCGACCGCAATAATTTCTATGCTGTCTTCCCCATCACCTCCAACCTACACTTCCTTCGTATCTCCGAGCAATGTGACAAGGGCAGCGGTCGTTATTGAGAGCCAAAAGAACCCGACGACTTTACTGTATGTTCAACTCTACGACATCTTGATGTCGCGGACTCAACCCCGTTCCGAGCTATCACACTGCCCTCAGGCTCTTTGGAAGAAATCTCCATCGGCCTTCTCTCTGCTGATGCAGAAGACGATGACAAAAACGACAAAGATATCTTCTATGACTTCCCGCATCGTTCGCAATGTCCGATGCAGAAGCTGACGGTTCGACTGGGCGAGGAATTCAATGATTTTGCAAGGATTTTCGATCAGGCATTCAGGCTCACACTGTGCTTGGACATCACACTACATTATGATGCTGAAGTCCGCTTGCAGCTTATTTGATGCGCTTGCTTTCACCGAATTCCTTCCTCAGCTTCAGGCTTTGAAGGTGGTATGGATAGCTTGGGAATATGATGATGCTGACGGACGCAGAGGCTATTGCTACGATGTTCCTGTCCCGACACCTGACATTCGCGGCTGACGGTTCGTGTCGAAGTGGAACTAGGTAACCCGCTACGATTCTTCGCCAATCACCCTTTTATATTAGGGGTCTGAGGGCGATAGTTTGGAGGCTTGATATGGAAGGGTAATTAATACATGGATTCGTCGCGTAATGATTTGCAGGAAAGTAGCGGCTTCGATGATCATGAGAAAACTTAGAGGAAAACTTTAGTTCTTAGAGTGTGATACCATTCCAACACAGGTCGCACGTTTTTGCCATGATGTTGCCCTTAGGTCGTGATCGTCATTACATGACGTCTAACGCGTGAAGGCATTTATTGCATTGCGTAGAACCACGATAGTTAACATTCGCCCTCATCGTCGATGTCTATTTTCGCAGTGATACACGGGCGAGGAACCGCACAACAAACAGCCCTACGTATACACATGGGAAACCTCGCTAGAACAGGACAAAACATACCACACACATTTCGTTCGGTGGTCGGCTCATGTACACATGAACAAGGCTTCATTTTCTCAGCACCTGAAAACCCCCGTCTATATTACGAAATAAAACTTCGAAGATTGTACACCGAGTATTGCGAAACTTGCACGAGGACTGCGACAACGCCGATATACCCGTCATGACCAGCGGAGTGGGCTAAAGTCCTAGGGAGAGCGTCATTCGTAGTCCTCTGCTGATGAAGCTTGATGAGCAGTCGACTCGGGGTTGTTCCTGTGCTGTGACGGTGCTTTCTTCTTGCGCCACCCAACTTCTGACCTCCTCGTTCTGCCATTTAGATATGTTTAGAACGAGTTGAACAAAATGCGTCAACCGAAAGACGAATGAAGCGAGAATGTAGCAAGTAAAATTCCAGAGTGTGCCTAGAGCCCTGAGGACAAGTCAGCATCAGAATTGAGATGCTGTAAAGCGCACGTACACCGTGCCTCCACATTAAACCGCCACAATCAAGGTATCCTGCACACAAAAGGTTAGGAGGAGCTGGAGGACCTTTAGTACGGAGGCGGCGCAATTGAGTTATTGGGTAATTATAGAGCGAAGGTTAGGCCACGGGTATCAATCGAATGCGTGGTATTGCTCTTGGTGTTCAACCAGAAATGCAGCCAAAAGCACAGACGAATCATGTAGTGACTGAATTTGCCTAGAACCGTAAAAAATAGTTCAGCCCTACGCGACGCGCGCGCAAACAGATGAAAATCGGCAGCACATCTTTTGCAGCCTGATACACGTACTCTTCTGTTTCAAAAATTAGGGCAAAGGGAGGCAGGGCAGATATGCAAAATGCCTCACCGGGATGTGGTGGCGCTCCCAGCACCTCAAACGCGCCGGCTGATGGTCGTACACTGCGGCGGCGAGTGATGTTGTAGTTGTGTAAGCAGCAGAGAAATGGTAAACAGTGCATATCTCCTTCGCTGACCACCATCACCACATACGACTACTATCATTCCATGCTTCCCTCGTCGCCAAGCACGACGGGCACAGCATGAAAGCTGCGAGCTGGCGTCTCGTCCGTAGGTTTCTTCGTGGTGGTTCATTCGAAGGCGTTTGATAGCCAGTCGGTCGGCACCCGTCGTCCGTCTTCGTCCTTGCCTGCGACGCCCAGCATCGTTCTGTATGTTGAGCACGATGCAAAATTGGGGGTGATTATGATGGAGATGGAGCAGATGGAGATCCGAAGGTCACGAAAACGTGAGCCGAGTGACAGAAGTAGGGACTTGCCTTTGTTGTCGTTTACCCTTCTACTCTGCCCACGCATGTCGTTCTAACTGTAACGACAAGGTTTCTCTATCTGCTCCATCTGCGATCATCTGGCCTGTACAAAGGACCCTCAGTCTTCGTCGTCGGCCGTAGCGATCCCGTGGTGAATCATCTCTCTCACATCGAGTCACTGCACCACTTACCGCTCCCTTCCAGTCACCATGGACGATGACGATGAAAGGATGCTGGTGGATGATGACCAATGGCAAATCATTGACGGTGGCGACTGGTGGAGGACTCCGTATACGTCGGTGTCCTGGGCCCCGTCGACGACGCCAACCAAGAAGGTCGCAGTCTTACCACCGCTGACTGTCGATGACCAACCCGCCGTCCGAGACGACATGGATCTGTCCCTCAGCTGCTCGCTGCCCGGTGTCCAGGCCGCTCTCGGTGCTCTTGACCGGTACGAGGCCGACGTTGGGTTTTACTTCTCGCAGAGCAGACAGGCCATGTCAGAGTCTGATGCATGTCACTGTGATGGTATAAACATAGGGCGACGGAACGAGCTCATTGCAGATCTCTTTGGAGACATTCCAACATATGCCGCGTCATCGTCCGCCTCGTCCCGTGGTACCCCATCACCATGTCCATCAGCATCCACCTCATCGGCGTCCACCTCTTCCGCCGTATCTACTTCCGCACCGAATACCCCCGCGACCAAGCTCAACGCTTCGGCAAACTCGTTCGTCCCTACGTTCGTCTACCCCGTTCCTTCACAGAACCACAAGATCAAGATTACAAAGGACGAACAGGGTTTCTATATGGGGGTGGACGAGGAAGATGAACGGGATGAGATAGAGGAAGAGATTCGGAATATCATCGGATCTTACGAGGAGAAGGCACGCAGTGTCTTCGCGCCTTTTGCTCCTGATGAGCGCAAGTCGCCGGATTCTGACGACGATGCGTTCGTCGTCAAGATGCCTAAGCGCCGGGTGCTGGAAGATGACGAGGGCTGGATAGGCTTTGGGGAGAAGGACAAGGCGCAGAGGAAGAAGGACCTCTTCGACGCTCTTACACGCCGGTGTCGCTCTGCGGTACCAGACAAGACGTCGACAACCGACGGGTGGATTGAACCTAAGCGTCAATCCTCCGTGGCGCCGTCAACGACGACGCCAGGCTGGATAGAGCTCGGGAGCGCCAGTCTGCCTCGAGATCCCAAGCCGCCTGCGAAGGATCCTTCGAAGCAGGGGCAAGGTCAGGGTAGGCGGTCGAGGCCGGCGCCCAAGACACATAAGCGCGGCGGCTCATCAGTCTCCTCGTTCTCTTCGACGTCCTCGCGCTCGTCTTCCCTTCATGCTCCTCTATACCCCCTTCCTTCCCGGTCTGGCTACCCTCCTTACCCTATCTTCAACCCCCCGGCGTACGTGTATCGACCGTACTTCTACGGACCGCATCCAGGGTACTTCCAGCCCGTGATGAACTACCGCGCTATGGCTGGGACGCGCATGTGGTGATCTATCTGCATTTTTTCATGCTTCTCATTTTCATTCATGCATCTATACATACCGCCACAGACCTGCATTTTTATGACCTTTGAATCCTTGTTTTGTGCCATTTTTCTTGTTGCTTTCTTGTGATTACTTAACGAATATGCGAAAACCCATCCTTGTTTGATGTATTTTGTACAAGTAATAGTACTGACTATGCGAATTGAAGAATTACTTATGATTGCCAGCTGTCGAAATATGGGCTATCTGATTTCTTGGGTACAGATGAGCGCGTGTTCATCCAAATCAAGTGCCCTGCCAGCGTGGATGCGCAAA